CTTGGGATGCCACTGGGGCATACCCCTCACATCCCTCATATAAAATCCCTAAACACACACAGACCACAAAATAGAGACTCAGACTTCATAAGGTAAAAGTCATCCAGAAAATCTATAAAATACAGATTCCTGGGTCCTTCCATCCTGGAATAACAAGCTAGGGTAGTGCCAAGGCATCTGCATTTTAAACCAGCTTTCCTCGTGATCTGACAGTAGACAAACACCACACTTTGGAGTGATAAACAACGTCACAGACATGAGAATTCTACAGCGTAAAAGATGTTCACAGGAAGTACCATGATTTGCTTTCAGGCATGGTCCAACTCCAACCTTTTACTGTTCACACTAAGTAATTTTTTTTTATTAAATGACAAAAAATTTTGCTCTTGTCCCCCTATCTGCAGTTACCACAGCCTCAAAGAAGCACTGTCTATGTTTTGCAACCTGTTTCATTACTTACTTCTGATGCTGAGGCAGCTAAGCATCAGAAATATGTATCATGCAACAGAACTGAGGTCCCATTCTCATTAAAATGATACTGAATTCTTAGGGTTTTAGTTTTTGTTTTTCTTCACAGCAGGTTGGCAGTCATTCAATTATAGTGTAATTCAGTACTGCAGCTCACTTCAGTTTAATCAGTTCATCTCAATTCTGATCATTATATTCAAAGGCTTACTCTATCCAGATGCCAAGTTTCCTCAACTGGACAAAAGCATAGCAGAAATATTTCTGTTTGGCAAGGCCAAGCAGATTTTTGGAGGCATTATGCCTCGGCAGGGCACTAGTCAGGGTGTAATTTGCTGTAATTGTTCTTCCCACAAACAGACATAATGATTACCTCTAGGTCACTGCGCCCAAAGACGGAGTTCTTCTCAGCCACTATAACTACCAAAGTTATTTCTGCAAACACCTTACCCAGGATTAGATTGCAAAGAATCAGTTTCTCAGATGCTGTCCATTCAGCTGATTGATCTGGTACACGCTTTTTAATGGGTTAGGCCATACACTTGACTGTGTATGTGTGTGCACATTAGAAACATGGAAATAACTCAGAGCAATCACTGGTCTCCCATAAAACCATCAGTGTACTGTATGCATCATTTCCCCCACCTGCCATGTTTACAAGGCACCCCAAGGAGAACTAGCCTAAAGCCCAGCAATCCATCTGCCTCCCAGTTCCACGGGGTAATTATTGCCTCAACTTAGCAAAGAGAACTGCGTGGCATGCTGCTGATCATGTCAGGTGACTGCTGTAAGTGACACCCAGGTCATTGGAGTTCCTAATAGCGGCCGGAGTTGTGGCCACAATGATAAACACACAAACGCAACGAACTAACAACAAAAAAGGCGGGGGTGGGGGAGGAGAAAAATGGACAGAGGCCTAGATTCAGTGGGCCACACCCAGACCACAAATCACAGATATGGGTTTTGTCACTTCTCATGGGCATGTTAAAACAAGAAACACAGGGAGGGGAGGGAGACGGAAGGAAGACAGGGTGATTTTATGAGAGAACATTGGTTAAAAAAACTGACAAAAAATAAAAGAGAGGACATGAAAGCAGGGTTTTTTTTTCCCATTAACTTTTTAAACAGTACTTCCTTAGGTATTTTTTTACGAAAGCATTAGTCAACATTTTTTAAGAATGCAGTTTTTTCTTTGCCATTCACACAAAAGAGAGCCTGGCCTCCAATACAATATAAGCTTAACTGCGCCCACCTGAGGTCACAGTTCAGTTCAGTTCAGTCGCTCAGTCATATCTGACTCTTTGCAAACCCATGAAGTTCAAATACAAACTGTAATAGATTGAATAGAATAAAAGAATAAACTCCTTTAACAGGAGGATGATGTCCAAGTGCAAAAACACATGTGCTGATAAAGCGCACAAAGCATATGCATCTCTTCAGAGAAATTCTGCTAATAAGAAGCTATTAAGAGAAGAGCTCTTTGGGGACACACCCCAAATGAATTGCGAAAGGTCACATACAACTTCTTCCCTCTGAAATGAGATAGAGACAACAGATAAATTAGCATACAGAATATCAAATCATTAAATGTTCCTGTCAAGGCTCCCGTGGGAAGAAAAGGGAGAAGGCAGTGGAGAGAGGGAAGGAAGAAAGTAGGTAAAAAATGGACAGGTCACTCTGAAAATAGTGCCGGGCTTTTAATTTCATTGATCAGCAAAATTAAAGGAAAGACGTGAGGGTGGAGGTGGAGGACATTTCAACATGGAGTTGTCGTTTATTTTGCTGAAGTATAATTCCAACCACTGTCAGGATTTTTTGTTATAATACAAATGATAGGAAAGCCAGACTCTCAAAATAAAGGATAATCCTTTATAATAAGTAAATTTAACTTTATATAAACTCAATGAACTATTTTTTTAAAAACTGAGTATCTTAGGATATATGATGCTCTTCATAATTTATACAACCTTTGATAACAGATTTAGAGAAAGAATCTAGTAATTTTCAAAAAACTGTAATTTTCAAATTAAATTGCATTGTGTTTGAGCAACAACATTCTCTCTCATTTCACTACCAGATTGCAAGAATCCCTCAAACTGCTTGCCCTCTTTCACGTTAGTGAAAGGTGATGATTTATAATACAGAAAACAGACTAATGCAGAATGATCACAGTAAAGTTAGGAAGTTATGGTAGTAACAGATATCTCTATATTATTTGAGTTTCATTGTAGCAAGGGATGGTATTTTTACAATTTGCATGTACTTCAGTCTCTGACTTAACTGTCATGATAACCAACATATTTTGTAGCTTCAGCGTTAAAGTGGCTGGATTAAAACCAGCTATTTCCCCCTGCTGGTTGGATGTGTTTTACATTCTCAACTCCACTGCCTGCAGCTTTAATACTCCCTATAGCACTAAACCCATTTATTTCTCATCCACTAACTGACCTCTGAAAGCATCATTAACACGCCCCCCCCAAAGACCTTGTTCCTGTCAATTTTAGTCAGTACAGCACTCAAAAGCCATCATGGGGTTTTACCAGGGCTCTTAGGAGAGGAAAGTAAAGAATGACAAGGCACCAACCCAAACCTTGGGGAACTGCCAAGCAGGAAGATGAGACCTCAGAACAGAGAGTCTTATCTGGAGGCAAGATGCAAGACTGAAGATCAAAAGGTAGGTTTATAGACACCAGTCATTAGAAGCTTGTGCCACTCAATTCTCAGCTAGTTAATGGCAGAAGGATCAATATTTACTTTCGATTTTCATGTACAGCATTATGGCCTTAGTGGGAGACAGGGCTCCTGGGAAGAAGGGTTGATCCAGGAAATGGGTCTTGGAAAGAATGATTCATGGCTGAAATTAACAATTTTATCTGTTTGCCAAATATATTTTTGAAGATCTGACTGGGGCTCTTTCTTTTGTTTTGACCAACTTTTTCTTTTTTGCTGGTAACACTGCTCACGCTAAAGTCAGTCAGAGAGAAGGTGATGTTGTGGAGAGAATTTCAGGAATAAATGTGGAATTGAGTTACGCAAACAAAGCTGTGTCAGTATGAAATGATAGTCCCCTGGGTTCATCCACATCCAGCAAGAGTGATTCCTGAGCTTGAAAAGGGAGTGAAAAGTAAACAGCATTACATTCTGCAAACACCACTTTGAGTTCCAGGAATCTTTACAGCTCCAGTAGTTTTCCTTTTGTTTTCTTCCTGGGAGAAGGTCAAGCAAACCATCAGTGGGTCTCCATTTTACACTGGATTCAGCAATAATCAGTTTTAAAATATAATGTTTTGATATAATATTTTCAAAATCAAACAGAGAATCTGAGGCATTATGCTGAAAAGGATTTAAAAATAAGCAGCACAGTATTTCTAATATACAACTTATGTACTGGGTGGAATTATTTAGTGAAAGTATATAATAAATCTAAAGCTACACTTCTAAAATCCCTGAAAATGTAATCACCGGTACTAACTACAATGGAATATTGTATCCTGCTTCATTAGGGCATTAATCATAGCACCTTGATTCATCTGTCCCTTTTCATGCATGTGTTAATCTTCAGATTACATTTTCCCTAAATAAATTCTAAGAATTATCCTTTGTGAAACATTCTTCATGAATCATAAGACAGTCACTCCTTTAAATTTTACCCAAATTCCTAATGCTTTTCAAAGCATATAAGTCCTTCTAGGTCACGTGCTTCAGTTTGTGTAACAGACTCTGTCGATCGATAAATGGCAGCAGCTCTAGGAGCTAGGAAGGGATCTGTGCCTTTACGAAATATGCTCACAGCTCTAAGGAACTTCCTTAAACATGTATCAAAACTAACATGTGTTCTTGTATTAAGAATCATCATTTCTCAGGCACCTCTGCAGGGCAGGCCCTGCGCTAGGAATACATTTAAGTACATAGTCTCTTTCAACCTCTCAGCTACTCTACAAGGTAGGTATTATCATCCCATTTTATAGATGTAACAACTGAGGCTTAAGGAGGTTAAGCAACTTGCCCAAAGTCCCACACCTTGTAAGGGTTCATAGAAAGGCCAGGTCCGTAAGTTCAAAGCCTGTGTTCTTTCCCTCTAAAATACAAGGTCAAGCCAGTACTGGGATATAAGCCACCTTGATCTTGACCTCATTCATTAGGACTTGCTTTATCTTTGGGAATTTCAGAAACAGAAGTACCCAGGCTTACAAAGATTGCTTGCACGAAATGTAAGCTACGTTTTCCAGTTTAACCAAGAAATACATTTTACAAACAGTCACAGAGAAAAGAAGTTAAGATTTCACAAAGAAAATTATCAACTAGAATAACATAAAAACAGAGATGAAATTCCATCGGGTTGAACCATTTGAATGGTCAAATGGTTGATACCATTTGACCTGTATCCGTAGGTCAAAATAAAAAAGATGCAATCTCATACTATTCATCCTAGTAACAGACATCTGCTCTGAGACTCTAAGGGGCCCGCCCCAGGGCCCCTCACAACGCAGCCGCAGTGCACTCACTTCCGGCAGTCGTTCCCGTGGGTATCGTACCTGAGCAGAAGCTGTTGCTGCTCACGGTCCTCGCTGAGCGCCCAGAGCTGCTGGGGTTGAACTCTTTGCTCTCTTCCTCCGAGAAGGGAGACTCAGAAGCTGGGGACACCTTGTGCTGCTGTTGAGGCAGATGGGGCCGAAGAATCAAGCGGGGAATCCGGCTTCGGGCAATCTCCTTCTCATGATGCTGTACTCTCAGCTCCTTCTCCAAATCGGACATCAGAGAGAAAACAAAAGGACACTTGTTGCCCACTCTGAACTCCAGTCTGTTCCTTCTGGGCTCAGCGTCTGCGGAGCCACATTTCTGAATATTAAACCTTCACAGAGCAGTCCTTGTTTCAGTAGCTCAAATGAGCTCCAAAACTCTTCTCCTGAGCTAAGCCTTCTAATTTATTGAAGATCACACACTGCAGCATGGATGTGTGTACACACACACACACACACTTTCAGCTGCTAGCAGTAAGGCTATTCCTTTCTTTCATGCCTAACTCACCTTGCCACTCTGGCTTTTCCTAGCACATTCAAGCTTTCAGCTCTCTCAAAGGCTCTTTATAACTCACAGCACACTCTGACTATTACTTGATTTCCTCCAGACTTCCATTTTGCTTTCCCTGAATTAGCTGTGACAATCTGACTTCTGTTTTCCTGTCTCCTGACAAAGCAGACCCCTATACCAGATTCCCTAGATAGATCATGCAGCCTTATCTTTCAAATGCCCCCCTCTTCCGGCCAGGATTTTAATTATTCATTAATATCCTGGTACACAAGGCTTGTTGCCAACAGGAAAGCAAACAAAAATTCAATACCGGGTAAGATGGCTCTGCCTTTCTCATCATGTTTAGGTTTTGTTTTCCTTACAGGACATTCAGATGAAGACATTTTTTCTCCCTCTCTCTCTCCTTCAAAACACAGCATCAAGTGCAAAGGGCTTTGAAAATGCCCCCAAAGCAGTATTTCAGCAATATTTTCCCATTTTCAAAGTGCTTTCCCAGGCATCATTTTGTTTAATCTTTCCAACAACGGAGGCCACAGAGAGCACACTAATTTGAGTCCCTACTTACAGATGAGGAAACTGAAGCTAAAAGAGGCAGAGATGCTCAGTCAAGACTGCTGCACGTCACCTAGATGCAGAACGGGGGGGCCTGCAGTCAAGAGCTGGTCGGTCGGGGTCACCCCCACCCTTCCGTATGAAAATGGACTCCCAGGACGAGCTCTCTGCAGGAAAAAACCCACCCCTCCCTCCAACCTCTGCAACTGAAAGAGGGCTTTGGATTAGGTAACGAATACTGTGTGGAAACGTGACCTCCTGCTCATTTCCACGCGGCTTACCAGGAAGGGTCGCTGCCAAAGTAAACACCTCTGGGAGGCCCTCAGTGCAGGAATTGAAGGGGAAGTCCCAGCCGCGGGTAACTCCCGAGGTCGCTCAGGCACCCGCCCTATCCAGGGGCGAAAGCCGCACCCAGCCTGGAATCTCTGCTGTCACCCGGCGGGTATCAGACGCCAGCCGCTCCGCTGGGCACCAGGCAGACCCTGAACCGATGCTGGAGCCCTTATTTCTCACTCACCAATACATCAAATCCTTTTTAGTCACATCACACACGGAGGACGACGATTGAGAGCTAGATCCCAAATCTCCAATTTCAGGGGATGGGATTAACCCTTCGGAGTCCATCTTTTTAATCCTCAGTGTCAACCCTCCAAACACAGTACTACCTCCCCATCTCCCGGGTCTCGGATCTCATCACCTGGGCGACAGTCCCTGCCACCTCCTCGTCCCCATCCACCGCAATCCTAAAGGTCACCCCTCCAGCTCTCACCTGATCCGCGTCCCTCCCCGCAGTGCCCACCTCTCCTCTCCCTCCGGCGCTCGCTGACACAGCCATCGAGCCCTCCGGACGTGCCCTCCTTACCTTGGTCTCCCGAAGGGGTCCCATCGCGCTGCCGCCCGCCGGCTCCTCGCGCCGCCGCTGCCGCCGTCCAGGAGGTGGCACCTGCGGGCACCGGGGTCGAGGAGACTATGCTGAGCCGGAGCGCGCCGCGGGCGGCCGCTGCAGCGGGGCCGACGCGCCGCCGCCGCCGCTCGCGCTGGGCTCGGAGGGCGCGCCCGGCCGCCCCGCCCCGGCCGGACACGTGGTGCCACCGCGGCTGCCGTCGCGCCGCCCTATCCCGCGACCTCCCTCACCTGCCGGCCCCTGAGGAGACTCCTCGGCGCGCCCCGCCCGCCCGACTTGGCCGCGGGCTCTCCTCCCAGGTCCGCGCGCCTCTCCCGCTCGGCCGAGCCCGACCCTAACAGGGGTCGCGGACAGAGGCTCCGAGCATCTTCAGCCCGGAGAAGCCCAACACCCCCTTTTGGGCACCTGGTATAAGGTTCGAAAGGGGGGCACGTGGGAGAGGAGAGCCCAGAAGAGCTGTGACATCACGGAGAACCAACCTGTACCAGGGGAAAGTTTTTGCCTCGCGGCCCCTCCCCGTCCTCCGGGTTTTCTGTCCGCGTCCAGCTTCCAGCACAATTACCTCGCCGGAGAGACGGCGTGGGTCGCCCTCCACCCGGACCCCCGGCAAGCCAGTATTGCAGGCCTGACACAGCACCTGGGTTCCAGGCTCTCCGAAGCTGCGCTCCTCCTCGGGGGGTTTGCATCAGAAGGGCCTGGCGTTGGCGGCGCGGCCAGCCGCAGGGAAGGAACCGCTGGCTTGGGAAGCCGGGCTGCCCGCCTCTCCAGCTCCGAACCACGGCCGCCCGCCTGCCGGGCATCAGTGCCCGGCGCGCGGCTCTGGCGACGCCTCACTCGAACTTAGAAAACCGGTTCGGGGCACCACTCCTCTCCCTTCTAGCGAAGTGCTTATATGCCTAAAGTTCTTGACCTCTCTTAACTACAAATTTATGCTCGTTAAATCTGAGGGATAATAATAATAACACCCTCGTCAAGTGTAGCTAAGAGGATTAAAAAAAACAGCTATACCTACTGTTTGAACAGAACCTTCCGAAGGGCAGTGAAGTCTCATCCAGCTTTTCCATTCAGTATTTGCTGCGTCCTCTTACATGACAGAAAAAGCATTTGAGAAAGACAAATATGTTCAAAAAAAAAAGCTCTAAAACCTGTCCAACTGAGGACCTTGAATAAGGATCATCCATCGTGTGGGTCCTGGGCTTTGACTTATTACACTTCAGTTTTATCTGATAATGCAAGTCTGCATATAATAATTTAGAGGCCCTTTATTTCAGAATTGGAGAATATTCTAAGAAGCAATGTGGATGGAGAACAGTCTGGTTGTTACACCCAGTGTTCCAGGGAGAACAGGAGGACAATGATCCTTGAAGATGGTATCTGAACCTGAACCATCTGTTTATCCTCCAAAAAGCATTTTTTCTGAGTCTTGAACTTTCAAGTCTAGGAATGTACAGTGAGTCCAGAAAAAGCTTGAAATCAGAGGATTAGTGAAATCAATTTGCCTCCTCTATATCCATAAAGAAGTTTTATTACATACATCTTCGTGTCTTTTCGATTTACTTGGCTCTCTTAAGCAGTGAAGTTGATAATCTTAAGATTCCTTATTTTGTCAGGGAGGGGTGATTAATTCATACTTTTATACAGCTCATAGCTGTCTCAGATACGGGCTTCAGCAAAGTGGCATTCCAGAATCATTCCTACAATTCTGAGCCCAAATTCTGAGCCCAAGGACATACACTGTGTGATAGGATCGGACTGTTAATGTCAAACTGTTAAGGTGTTTCTGAGGTCCCTCTTGAGAATTAAATCTGGGAGCATAAAAGCAGAAACACCCTCCACTGAGTTGTCCAAGTCAGAACTTCACATTCTTGACTTCTCCTTCCTATGGCCCCCAAATAGCAGAAACCACAAATGATCTTCATGCTACCCTAGAAATAATGTCTTGGATCTGATTACTTCTAGCCTCTGTTTGACTGCATTATCTTCACTTAAAGACTAAACCACAAATGTCCTGGATTATTACAATAGTGGTCTAACTAAAGTTGTCTTCCTTCCAACTTTGCCTCTCATTCCTCTCTTGCCAGTTTTGCAATTTTTCCACAAGGCCTTTCTAGCCATGCTTTTTTATTACAACTCATTAATGATTTCCCAGTTGTCCTCCAAGTAATATTCAAACTCCTTAATGTGGCATAAAGGCCTTTCATGGTCTGGCTTTGTGTATGTCTCCCATCTCATTTCTTTCCACTGCTCTTCTGAGATCCTTCCTCCCCTCACCAGTCCTACCACCACCACCCCCTCCATCCACTGCCCCTGCCACTCCCCCTCCACATACAAATGGATACCCCTCAAATCGTAGAACTTGAGTTCTCAGGAAGTATCATGTTCTCTTTTCTCTCCAGACTACTGCACACAGTTGGTCCCTTTGTCTAGAGCATTTCTTGGACCCCACTACCCATCCTCCTCAACTCCTAAAAATACATTAATTTTCATTTTAGAAACACCTTCTTTCAGGAAACCTACCTTGATCTCCCCAAAAGATAAGTCCTTACATACTTCCAGGACACCTGCACACAATTCACCTGGGAGGAGCTGTTATGATTTTGTATCAGAATCCCCTACTTATTTGTCTTCACCAGGGATGTAAGCAGTGCCTAGTACAGGTCCTGACGCCGTGAGTGAGTGGAAGTCGTTCAGTCATGTCCGACTCTTTGTAACCCCATGGACTCTTGCCTGCCAGGCTCCTCTGTCCATGGAATTCTCCAGGCAAGAATACTGGAGTGGGTTACCATCTCCTTCTCCACCTGACACCGTAGGCACTCCATATTTAAGTCAAATGAATGAATCATGAAAGAGTAAATTCTCTAACCCTTTAAGGGGCCCAACAGTACAAGATAAAGAACATTGATACAACTTCTGTTTAGAAAATGACTCAGATAAAGCTGCCTCCAATATGGCTTTGTATTTGATGATGGGGTGTGTGCCTTAAAAAAAATCCAACATGTGTTCAGTGAAAGCCTTTTACTGCAGAAGTGCAGGCCTTGAGAGGCTGTGCTGTAGTCCTGCTATCACCATAGCAACCCTGCTAAGGAAAAGGCTGGTGATTTAGTGTTCAAACGCCTCTTAGCTCTGTACTTTTGGAACCCAAGCCTGTTTTTATGCTGTTCTAAAAGGCAAGTTTTACAAATGCTAATATCTGTCTTGCCTTTAATTTCACTCAAGTGTTTCTCACGTCATTAAGAGAAGGTGTCTTATAACATTAGGATCATACCATCAAAGAGAGATAATCTAATACAGTATAACATAGTCAGCTCTGATCTGCTCAAAAATAACCTCTATTTCAATACTTATTCTCTGGTTTTCAAATTTTGTGGCTTTTCCTTTAGAAATGACTAGAGTGCTGATTTTTTTAAAGAAAATAACTACTTCGAAGGTTGGAATCCTTTGAGATTATAAATAATACCCCTGCCCAGACCTAGGAAGAACAGAGGAGATAGGGTACGGCAGATTGGGAGACAAGGGATGTGTTTATGTAATTATGTGCCCAAATTTGGGGTAAATTAATTGCTGCTTGGCTTATGTGAAATTTGCAATTAAATGATTCGTACCTTTCATGTGCACACAACTTTCTATTTTCCGAGCTCTTTCACATGTATAATCTTATTTGAGCCCCCCTCCCCACCCCAAGTCCTGAGATGTGCATGTCGTTCATCAATCTCTGAAACCAGATAAATCATAAAGGACAGGTTTTTCTTGACAGGAAGCCCCCAGACTGCAAACTTCACAGAAATGACAATACAAATGTACAAATGCACGGCCACAGAGGAAAAGAAAAAAAAAAAATGTCTGTACCATTCAACCAAGATACCTCCCGGTCCCCCACATTCATTCGCTCGCTCTGCCTCTCAGCTCACCTGCGTGTGCTGGGGGCTCCCTCGGCCTCAGTCAGGGCTGACAAAGCACCCTCCTAATCCTGTCAGCGGTGTGAGCCAGTGCCGCCGGCTGTCTCCGTGACCCGATGTTGGGTGATCTGCACGGCAACAAGGAGCAGCTGACGTGCTTTACAACACGTCATGTAGAAAAGAAACTGCATTCTGGGGCATCCTGGGATTTTTCTTTTTTTTTTTTTTGTGGTGGGGTGGAGACCCATATTTTTCTTAACCAGGGAGAGAGCTGCCTGCTTTCCCATAAAAGCATGTGTGAGTGATTCAACCCTCCTCTTCTCGTATGTGTTGTTGTTACTATACGGTTAAGGGATTTTGAGGTTGTGAAACTGTAATGGATAGAATTCTGCGAGGTCGCTCCCTGAGGAGGCGGTCCAGAGAGTATCTGGAGCAATCAGGGGAGTGGGTACCTGAGGCAAGGCTGGCTGGAACATTCGCTGGGTTCAGAGTGTGTCGGTTATCTCGGCCCTGCAAAGAAGTCTTCAGTCAGAGGGAGCTCTCAGATGAAGAACAGGCATGAAGGGAAAGTCCAGGTGGGAGGCAGAGGTTGGGGGTTGGCGGCTCTGAAGGATGGTAAGGATACAGTCTTCTGCTTGCCTGGTGGGGCAACAGACATGAGGTAATCCTCTCCAAAGCTGTCTGCTGTTTGTGGCCTTTTGTCCACTTGTGAGAATCAGGGATGATATTAGCCAAAGACACAGGTATGATGATTGTATCGAACAAACTGGGGAAACATAGATGGACAAGTAGTTGTATGCTTATTGGGACAGTAGATTAGAATGATGGAGATTAAGATGCCCAGAAAGTATGAGTGTCAAGGATGCCACTCAGATAGGACAAACCGAGCTTTGAGATGCTTCAAATGATGGGACAAGACAGGGAGATGCGTGGATCTCCAGACTTCCAGAAAAGGCGGAGGAAGTTATCTGTGAGGTCGACATAGGAAGGCCTAAATCCAGAGGCTGAATTCTGGGTCTTTCTTTCCTAGGAGACCAAGGAAAACCAGAAAGTGTGACCAGGACTGGGCCTTTAAGAGTTGCCTGAGCCCACTTGGGATTAGCTAGCTACCTAGAGAGATGGGGAGTGAAGGCTGAGATTCTC